GTGATTTACATTTTGGTTGGCCAGTGATTTGATGACCAGAATTCTGAATTGCTCATCACCTGAACTGGTCTATATCTAATGACGCGCAATGATAATTCCATTAATTGCCTATATTATATTATTGAGCTAAAATTCCAAACTGACCTACATCTTGTCCGCCCAGTGATTTGAATGAAATGATTTGCAATGACCCATGACTAGTTAAAAATGCCTTGTGACTGATATTCTTCTGTCGAAGTTGATTGATTTTCAGAGAAAAGGGACGAGGTTGAGGAAGCTCAATTAAGGATTCATCAACAGGAGTGGTCTGGTTAAATAATAGCTGTATTAGGGAGAGACCGTGCCACTGGTGAATGGATTCAATTTCACGATGAAAATTAACCATAGATTACCGAGCTATAAGTGAGATAATTTTAGGCACCCAATTCAAATAATAATAATCCAGATATCTCCAAATCAAAGAACGCCATGAATCGTGCGTGCTTTGTGGAGCCCCTGCATGTGGAAAACTGTTGTGGTCGTCAGTAGACTGTCTACCAATTAAGCTAAGACTGAACCTGTCATAAGCAACTGTCGACTGATCCGGTAGCTGGGAATCATGTTGGGTTTCCGACAGCTTTTAGGGAGGGAGTTGGAGTCAGACCGGATTGGGGGGAACGTGCGCTGGATTGTAGTCATCTTGAAGAGAAGAAGACTAGAAGAGTGGAAGAACGACGGGAATAATAGAGTGGAATGACATAATTAGGAAGCTAAAATTTGAGATTCTACGTAATGAAGAGCATAAATCCCCCTCTTGCTCCATTGCATAGATTATTTTTATTTTATTTTTTTCTTTAGGCCGGCCAGTTTAATTTGGAAGGAAGAATATACATAAAGTGCAAAACCTGTACATATTTATATTTGTACTCTTTCCCAACTCAGCCTTAAGAACTTTAATTACCTACTTTCTATTTCTCTTATTTTTAATTTTGTGAAACTAAAAAAACCTTGATATTGAATTATCCTATGCAATATTAACTTCTCTAATTTTTATGGGTAAAAAACAAATCCATTATCTATTCTAAATCAAACGATTACAAACATGTTTTCCAACCATTATGGTGGATTATACAGCCAAATACATTGAGAATTCCAAGTTTTGACCTTTTGAGCTCCAATATGAGCAACTTAAATTATAAGGCCTGTTAATTCTTTTAATTGGTTGTAAGTTTTTCTTTTAGTGGGAAAGGTGACCAACTTTATCATGATTGCTTTTTTGTAGTCTCGTGGTAAACTAACTTTCTATGTTCACTTACTTGAATAATATTTTTCTCAAGGATCTCCATGTTCGTAACTTGCCACTAAACAAATGGATCCTAAGTTCTATGAATATGACAAAATATTACATTCACAAAGTTTTGCAAAATTCCCCTAATCATATATGGGATAACACTATTAGCACAAGAGATGCTTAGTCTTCTGACCATTGCAACCTGAAATTGAATTCAGGAAATCTGAATACACATCACAACCCTTCTTCACTATCTTCTAGACTAAAAAAACAGCCACCTTGAAGTTATTAAAAATTGATAATTAAAAACCAATGTTTATAGAACCAGACCAGGCATAGAATCGGGAAAAAGAGAGGTTCACGGGTTAGAAGTTCAGTCATTTGATGACGTGATATATACATATATATTTTATAGGTCATATAAATACTACATATAATATATTTTAAAACTAATATTACATTTGCATGTGGTAGATAGATGGCTTTCTTTTTAAGTATTTAAAATAAATATCCAGGGTTCAAGTTCATCTCTTAACTAAAGATGGATTAATGATGAGAAGACAATAATATACATATGCAAGCAAGAGGTTATTACCTCATACCTGGGCAATTTCATAAAATTAGGACTAGTTCACTGGTTTTCCGGTTAAACTGACTAGTAAATTACTTTTGGCCATTTTTTTTTTTTTCTGAATCATTGTTTTTACTTTTTAGTATATGACCGAACTGGCTAGAGGGTGGATCACAGTTTAAAAGGTCCAATCGGTTGGTCTGTCCAGTGCGATTTTCTAAACAATGTTAAAAAAACATAAAAACCATATGGTCCAGACATTTTGCATATTACAATAACCTTCATAACTGAAAAAGCATATTTCTCTCCGATGTTTATCCTTGGTAGTGAGGCAACTTCCTTGAATTTCCTCTCCCCATCCTTGGGTCATGAAACATGTTTTAGCGAAAAAAGACCTTGCTACATGTTCAAACTTCAAAATTATATTAGAATATGCACTTATTCATATTTGGTAGTGATTATTCGAATACGCACTTACTTTTAGGTTTAGGCCGGATCGTATCATTAACTATTTATTGATGTTTGAGAAATAAGCCTAAAATTAGATTTAAGCACTTGTTCAAATTTTCTCTACCAAAACTGTTCCTGTTTATTTTTGAAAATTCCAATTATGCCCTTTATAGGTAAAACTTAGGGTTTGACATATTAAGGCTTTCTTCTCCTTTGCCTTCTACAACCATTGTCCCCGGCAAAATCTCTCCTACAACACCAACACTAACTGGTTTGTATCTTTATGCTAACAGACTATCGGGAGAGATCCCTGCCCGAGTTGAAGCTTTGGGTTTGACTGATATAGATCTTTCCATCAACAATTTGGCCGTTACCATACCGGGAGATTCCTGTCCAACGCCGACATCGTGGCAGTAATTCCTGACCACCAGGCCCCAACGGGTTACCACATCTGGTTGTCACTGCTCTTCTTTCACCATAGCTTTCAGAATTGAGAATCTATTGTTGATCTTTGTCTATACTTTCTGGTATCATGAGCGCTCACCGCAATTGAGGGCGATATGATCAGAGGGGATATATGGCAACTCACCAATTACTAATATCCCTAGTTGAAGAAAGGAGCGGGGGAGGTAAAAACAAGACATAAATTGATGGTATATTTTGAAAATTTGAAAGAAAATGAATGACAAAAAATAGTCACAAATGTTTATTGGGAAAAAAGACTACCAAACACCCAATATAATAAGCACTTTATAAAGCTGGATGCCAAATGCAAATAAGTGTTTAATCGAATAAGCACTTGTTTTAAGCACTTATTTTTAATATAAACACTCCCAAACATGGTCTTAATTACTTGGGATAAGTTTGGGAGTGCTTATTTTTTAATACACTTATTTTGAGCCGGGAGCATATCAATAAACACTTAGGCCATGTTTGGGAGTGCTTAAAAATAAGTGCTTATTTGGGCTATTAAGCACTTATTGGTATTTGGGAAGTAAGCCTAAAATAAGTGTTTATTTAAAAAATAAGGACTTATTTTTTAAGCTAAAATTTCCAGTTTCTTTAAGTGCTCATAAAATAAGCACTTATTCAAATATTTATAAAAAAACACTTTTATGAAAGCACTTTTAGGAAAGTACTTTTATGAAAGCATTTTTAGGAAAGTATTTTTACATGAAAGCACTTTTATAAAAGTACATTTTATTAAAGTACTTTTATGAAATCACTTTTAGGAAGGTACTTTTATGAAAGCATTTTTAGTAAAGTACTTTTATAAAAGTACGTTTTATGAAAGTACTTTTGTGAAAGCACTTTTATAAAAGTACTTTTACAAAAACATTCTTACAAATAAAGTGCTTTTATAAAAGTGCTTTCATAAAAATAATTTTGTAAAAGTATTTTTATGAAAGCACTTCTATCGAGGTACTTTTATAAAAGCACTTCTATCAAAGTACTTTTATTCATTCACTTTTGATTGGATATTTTGAAAATTGAAAGAAAATGAAGAACAAGAGAGTCACAATTGCTTATTTAAGTGCTTATTGGAGAAAAAAGACCACCAAATGTCCAATATAAAATTTAAAATAAGCACTTGAAAAACCTTGTGGCAAATACAAATAAGTGTTTATTCGAATAATCCCTCCCAAATATGGCCTTATTTGCATTTGACAAATAAGTCCAAATAAATACTTATTCTTCGTAAACTTATTTTTAAATGTTCATTTCCTTTTTGGCGCATCTTGTCCATGCCATTTTGAAAATACCCATAGTACCCCTATTTTTTGTAAGAATAGTACCCCTATTTGAAATAGGTAGTTTTTCATAAGCACTTATTTTTAAGCCCTTATCTAAAAAGCACTCTCAAACATGGGTTTGATCCAAATTTCAAATTAAGATTTTCTATAACATATATATCTGCCAACACTTATAGTTTTAGGTAATAATAGTATGTCAAGATGGATTGGGCTAGGCCTAGGTGTTGGCCTGTTGGAGTTTAAATCTGTTACCAAGAATCACTGCCAACACTGTCCGAACAAGTCATTAGATTAGAGTTCCACATTAGTATCCCTAGCCGGATGTTGGGCTGGGCTTGTCTACGATTAAGTGCATCTTGAACTCCAGTGTCGGCCCTAAGATATGTTAATATACTTATATCCCGAGACCGGACTAGCTTATTACAATTTGGAGCTAGGCGTACCAAGAATCAGGGTACCCCAGCCCATGTTTAGGCCATAACTACATTCTGTACATGGGCCGAGAGAACCCAACAGCTATCTTGGGCTTGGGCTGCAATTTTTCTCTCCGATATTTTTGAAAACTTTGAGGACTACAGTCGTCATTCACTCATTCCGAAAATAAGTAGTACTTGAAGTTGAATGTGAAAGCGGGGATTGGAATTTGGAACGGCGTCCGTAGCAATCTGGTTTGAGTTCGATCCTTCCTCCTTGAATAGCATCCAATTCCCACGTACCAACTTCTGTCTCTGGCATTCAAATAGACAAATGGTTGCTTTCTGGTTTTCAGAGTCGATCTATACAACATTGGCGTACATTAAAGTTGACGACTCACCGTTGAGAGTGACGAATAAATCAAACCCTCACGTTTCTCATTGGCCTATTAAAGTTGATTTTCTTCTTCACGAGTTTTACAAGCCAAAGGGAGGCTGATTCAACAGAAAAGGTAAAACTGGAAATTCATCAACACTTTCGGTTAGGGCTTGTTCTGGTTCCTTTGCAGAAATTGCTACTCAATCTTTGAATCTTGTCCACTCTGAAATGGGTACCGTTCGAACTATCACAATCACAAAAATCCCAGAGCCAAAAAAAAAAAAAAATCATTTGGTCCAGCCTGAAACAGCTTTCTACATCATAAGTTGTTACGTTCACAACCACTTGATTCAATGCACTGATATGGACGAGGCTGATACTTCTAATGAAGGTTCCAACAGGAAAGTTTACGATTTAGAACTTGTTCGCCCAACTAATTTGACCACTGACTACTTGTAATTTCTTCAATTCACAATTTCCACAGTGCACGTTTTCTACATCGTTACCGGTCCCTCCCCAACAAAAGAAGAAATTGTGGACAAATCTGGTCTGGGAGCTCATTCACCGCGAAATTCTTAATGAAAATCTGAACTAGATTCATGCTGACACGTTGGCGTCATCTTCTCTCTCTCATTTATAAGTCCCAAGGCCGGTCACTTCTTCCATCTACCTTTTATTCAGCTTAGCCGGCTTGAACGATCCTTGCTTTCTTCTTATCTGCCGGTAGGCCTTCGTAGCGGTCGTGAGGGTTGAGCATAGAACTTCTGTTATTTGTTTCCTGGTTGGGGAATTTGAATTCGGAACATGGAGCATTCGATTTTTCTCCAGGATGCCCTTGTTACCGCGCGGCTCTGTTCTGCTCCTGCCACCACCTCCGCCTCCTCCACCGCGCTTCGTCATCATCTGCCTTGCCTTCTCTCGTCCTCCCGCGAAAGACCTCCCTCCTTTGCACGTTCTCTGTCTCAACGCCTCAATGCCTCCGACCGTGTTCCTAGGTTTCGTATGCCCCTTGCTGTTGGTGGAAGCGGCGCTTTGATGGCCAATTCCGTGCCGGTTCGTTACTTCCTCGTGAATTTCACCCTTTTTATCCACTTTCTCCTCTTAGTTCTGATTTCTGGTGGCAACAGTGAATATTTTGGGATTAAGACGTTATTTTCTATTGCTCGAGTTTCTTGTTTGATCTCGTATTAGAATGTCTCATGTAGTTCCTTTTAGATAAACAACCTGCTTCACTTTTTTTTTGGTAACTCCTGCTTCATTAGCTCATACCTTTCCAATCTGTAATTTTAGATGAACGCCTTGATAACATGATTCCCTCCTGAAATAAATAAGTAATTGAACGCTTAGAATGCATGAGATTAAAACCGTGCAGTTATTTCTAGAAACGAGGTCAACGATTATAATAAAAACTAGTAAACACTAAAGATAATAGTTAGGAATGCTGACACTTATGGGTCTAGTAGACTTTAGTGAACCACAAACTTCTGATGCTGTCTAGAAGGTGTAAAAGCTTTAGCAGGTAAGCTGCAACTATTGCAAACAAAATGATTAGTTTTGACAATTAAATGTGTAAATAACAGCAAACGAGACCAGGGCTCTGAGTCTAGAATTTCTTGTTAATTAATCTTCCAATATATGGAGATAGGAATGCGGGACATTGTACAACTAAATTTTGTAAAGTTCATTTTGTTATCTCCACATACATTGCTGCTGGAATTTCTTGCAGAACTTATATGGCTTTGGCTCAAATTTCAAATTTTTTAGATACATATTTACTCATGTGTATTTCTTAGATTTCATTTTTAACTTTTTTCTTTCCAGTGTTAACCTTCTAACTTGTACATTAAAATTTCTTTTGGCTGTTGTGATCTTGCAGCCAAAAAATGTTGTCCATACAGTGGGTGATTTTATGACAAAAAAGGAGAATTTACATGTAGTAAAGCCTAACACAACTGTTGATGAAGGTATATATAATTCTTATATTTCATGCATAAATCCTATTGTGATCTTGTCAATTTCTTATGCTTTAATATTTGGATTGACAGCATTGGAGATCCTTGTTGAGAACAGAGTCACTGGTTTTCCTGTGATTGATGATGACTGGAAATTGGTATGTACCCAATTAATCTTTTTGTGACTAGGAGTGCTTTATTTTCCTTTGTATGAACTCATTATATATAATATTCTGGAAATATTATATGTTCATTTTCTTGGAGGCTCCTGTTGCATATGAGTCAAGCAATGATTTCATATTCTACATTCTGACCTCTGCTTCTGCTTGATCTTTGAAGTCATGGATTGCTTAACTGTATTCTCTAGGATGAAGTACTTCATAGGAGGTTAAGCTATTGTCTTTGGAGTTTGGACTAATGTATTTGAATCCTCTGGAAGTGCCAATTAAAGGTAGGAAGGGCAACAAGGCAGGGCACCCCCTCCCCGTCCCTGACCCGTAGCCAAAATCCCTTACCCCGTCCCTACTCCCCAGTGGCGGAGCGGGTTCGGGGCGGGGCACCTCCTCCTTATTGGGGATGGGGAATCCCTGAATTTTCCCCACCCCGAGTCAACTCCTAAGATTACATCATATTTAGGGTAGTGGGAAGATAGTTAGGCATGCCATTTTGGATTGCTGCTTTATAGTTCCCTTTTTTTTGGGGGTAGAGAGTGTTCCTATTGAGAGCATGTGGGTTTGAGTCTGAGAATGGCCACTTTGTGCAAAAAATGCCAAAAGTTAGGTCTGCATTTGTCCAAGACCCTGGCTAGTTGGGAGACTCGGGACCAACATTGGTCATTGGGTAATGGCCCTTTTTACATAAATGGTCATTGTTAAGTGCTAATGGTAAAAATCTCAGGCTGACAAGTGTGAGAACGTGAGTTCAAGTCTGACAGTAGACACTTTGTGCAAGAAAATGCCAAAGGTCAAGTTCATATGCAGTCCACCCTCCCAAGAACCCTGGATGGTGGAGAAAAACATTGGGTAATGGCCCTAGTGTGTCCCCTCTTGACTGCATGGGGTGATGTTAACGTGCCACACTTTCAGTTCTGTTTACTTGGTAGAATCTTAAGGCATAGGGTCCCTTTGCAATTTTAAACAAGAGTATTTTACACTATCAAGGATTTGAAGAGGGATTTTTCTGTCATTTTGGATTAAACTCTTATTTTGTAGGAATTCTGAGATGTGAGAAGATTTGACATCAAGAGAGAGTAGGGCGAAGAGGGAATAAGAATTTAATACATGTAGCTATGCCTTGTGTGTCTTTGTAATGAGATTTTTCATTTTTTTTTTCTGGAGGATGGCTTGTCTTCTTTTTATATAACGTTTTAAATTTTTATATTATAATGTGTATATCAATGTTTTCAACCTGTTGTTGACCAGGATGGTTGAACCATTCAACCTGTCAGCCCAAAAGGCAAAACAAGTTCATTTAACCCCCAAACTGTTTAACACTTCATTTGTTTTTCCTGATTTTGGTGTCATTACATAGTTCATTTAATTATCCATCCAAAGATACTAATATTGTGGAAATTTAATGTGTTTCAGAAATCTCTTGACCATTTTATTTGTAGGATGCCAGTTGGTGACAAAAGTTTATATGATGAATGTTTGTGAGGTCATTGGAAGGTGGAGGGATTGATTTTAATAAAGATTGAATTTTTCAAATTCAGGAATTGGTGTTTCTGAAAGAGTTTTTATTTTCTTCTCTCTTCCTCTTGGGCAAGATTTAGACCTTTGTTATTTCTTCTGATCAATTCTTTTCTTTATTCCCTTGTTTTCTTTTTCTATTACTCTTGAATCTATTTTAGCACATTATCATTTAGATTCTTGTTTCCCTTTGGCCTACAAGATTTGTTCTAAAGGAAGAAATCTCATCCCTCTAAGTCATCCTAAACCAATGTGAAATCTAGGGCTGATATTTAGTTTCTCCATTAGTTAGGGCTGGTTACAGAGGCCCCACATCATCCCTGGTGATAATTGATGTACTCTAGGAACCCGCAAACCTTCTCCAAATCCCAAGATTGACCCTACAAATTCCACCTCTTTTCCCTTGTGCCATTTTGTCCAGACAAGGCCTAGACTATAGGTCAAGGCCCAAGGGTGTGGTACAGGTCCTATACTCCTAGTACCCTTGCTCAACCCAGTCTATAGCCTCTTGGCTGTTTTCAATCATATGGATCAAAATGCTAACAATATAAATTGATGTTCCATTTTACTAGGGCATTTTGTTTTACACTTGGAGCTGAAATTCTAAGTAGGGGCCATTATTATTACTTGGTGTAAATAGTAAAAATCTTGGGCTGGCAGGTGTGAGAACATGGGTTCAAGTATGAGGGCAGATACTTTGTGCCATAAGATGCCAGAGTTTAGGACTGTACCCAGTCTACCACTCCCAAGACCCCAAATAGTTGGGACCATTATAGGGTAATGACCCTTCTTTTAACTGAACTTCCTAGGTGGTGTCTCCAATCTTTTCGTTGACATTGTTTATGCTTATAAACAGAAACCTATTTTTCAGTTATCTAAATTTATTTTTTGGTGCTTAATTTTCTGTCTGATATCAATTATTCATGCTTATCTTAAATGAGTTGGTACTAGTTTTATCTGTTAGGTTATAACAATTCGAAGTATTGATAAGAGCGTTATTTGTTGTTGCAGGTTGGTTTAGTTTCTGACTATGACTTGTTAGCATTGGACTCCATATCAGGTTTTTATTACAACTTAAAACCAGAACTGACTTAAATGTATTGATTAGTTTGAGGAGACTATTCATTACTTATTTCCATGTTCCCTATGCTTTTTGCAATTCCTATAAGTATTCATTACTTCGTGGAAGTTTTGTTACAAATGATTATGGCAAATTACTCTATTCTTGTTTTCAAGGCATGATAAAGCTGTGGCGAACTACTTTTTTCATATGAAGGTGTTATGTTTGATTTCCTGCAGTAGTTATTTTAGCTTTTTATGTTGGAAAACATACTTCTTGTTTTATAGGCGAAAATAAACTTATTTTTATCTTTTCACTTTATTGTGTTTCCCCCAATAACCCAAGGAAATTACAATTTCAGAAAGCTACAGAGTTAAATTCCCAATATACAAAAAATTCTTGTTCAGTGTTTCTAGATGAGGAGTTAGAGTTAGAATCCAAGATTTCTTGTTATTTTAATGTTTTTTCTTCCTATAGATTTCTGGCATGGTTTTCCTTTGTTTACATTATGGGTTCAATCCATCTGACAACTTAACTCTATTGTCTCTCTATCAGTCCATTCTTTGGCCTAAATTTTGGATTTCATAGTTCATTTCCATTGTGTAAGACAGTTTCATGTAAATCATTTCCTCTCCTAATAATAAGATGTTTTTTATGAACTCATTTGATGCTAGGTGTATTTTGTAAACCTCTAATGTTTCTTTTGGTAAGACTATTCTATTTTTCTTACGATAAATATAATATGTTAGAAGAAAAACAATCTTTTGAGAATAAAGGACTGTTTAGAACAGATGCAGAAATCAAAATAAAATAACAGAAATCATTCTTCTAAGGAAGAGAAGATGAAGAA